AACGTGATCTCCTCCGACGCAACGTCAATTCCTCCTGCGTTAATTGTCTAATCCTGATCGAGTAGACCTGTATCACTCAAAATGTAGTCAAACATTTAAACACAATCAATTAGTTTCATCATCAAAATCCGAGATTCAACAAATAATAAATCAACTATTGCCTTAGCCAAGAATCTAATCTACCATGAACGATCGAAGCATATCGACATAAGATTTCATTTCATAAGAGATCATATCAAAAATAAAGAAATGGAGCTACATCATGTCAAGACAAGTGAACAAGTTATCAATATACTTACAAAACCTCTCAAATTTGAAATATTTCAACAACTTCGAAAGAAACTTAGTATGTTAGATGGAACAAGTTAAGAGGGGAGAATGTTGGAATTAAACCTATTCAAGTATCATAAAGAGATTAATTTCGTAAAAAAAAATATTCATTGCATCAAGACGAAGATTCATTATACCAAGAAAAAAAAATAGATTAAATGTCTATGAAAAGACAAGTCAAATTGGTTATTGATTTTTGAAAGGATTTCTTAAAGAGAATGATTTATTTTGAATATAATTAATGTAACATATCTTTGGGGACTATATAAACCCCAAATATTGGGTCATGAAACAGATAGAGTTTTTGAAATTGTAAAGAGCTTTCTTGAGAGAAATATAGAAGATTGAAGCTTGTCTTACTCTTCCTCTGTTTGATAGCTCTATTTCTTCTTCCTATCAAGATCAACAAAGATATCGTTTATCAAATATTCAAACCAAAGAAATCAAGATATATGCGATAGGACCATCGCCTTTTTGTAGTATCCAAATATTATTCTTTAATATCTATGACTATACAGTATGAGAATGAGAAAGATAAAGAAATATGACAATTGAAGGAAAAAACTTGAAAAAAAATACTCGAAAGAAATGCAAACTCAATTATAAATACTTGTGGATGAAAAAACTCCTCGAACAAATAATATAGGTAAAATCTAAAACTTCTTTTATCTTATTTTTTTATTTATAATTATGAATCTAATTAATATTATTCACCCTATGCAGGTTTCAGACTTTGAGAGAAGTGCAAGAGAAGCATCTCTTTTGTAATTTTTTTTTTATATTATCCTACTCAAAACTTTCAAAAGAAAGGTTGTTTGTTTGCATTTACGTATGAAATTGAATGTATTTTTATATCAATTGATATGGTTATTAGAAGAATATTATATTCTTTTTTGTGAATCATGAATTACTGTTGTAGTTAGTATGTACTGTTGTTGTGGATGGTTATTCACTAGATTAAAGTATTTATTTATGTAATTGAATAGTAGCATAAATATATGAATTATTAATGTGACTATCCTTCTTTAGGATAAAAGTATCTATTATTGTAGTTGAACAATTACAGTAATAACTAAACTATTAAAGTGTTTGTCATATATCTATTAATATGGTTTTTATTTGTAGGAAAAAAAATATATTATTGAGGTTGAATCACCACAGTAACATACATGTAGGCGTTTACCTGCGGTCGTAAAAATCGTAGTAATATCTTTTGGCGATGGCACCTACTGCCACTGTTTCTAACTAAATGCAGGAATAGAGTTTGCTACAGTTAAAATTGCAAGGATATATAAATAAAAACCGCTGCTAAAAGTATAATTTGTTGCAGTGGGTTCATTAGACTAAATTGATAAGGGCAGGCTTTGTATGTACAATGATAAGATTCCTCTTTCCGTAACATGAAAAATCATGATTCAAAATTATGAAAATACCCTCTCTATGTTTAGAGGGAGAATTTGGATAAAAATACTTCATCTTCTTCAATGATCGATCGTTTTCTAAGAAATCATTCGACAAACAATGGTGAAGCACATGAGTGGTGTATGATGAACGGTGGACCACGATCGGAAGTACCATCTTCTGAACAACTTGTGGAGCGGGAGAAAACAACAGACGCACAAGAACCTCTATGGTATGTTCCCTTTTTCCTTTTTTGGCATGTCGTGCCAGATTGAAGAGAGGGAGAGGTGGGAGGAAGAAGGGCGACTGACGGATGCGACATATAAACCACGGCAATGAAGGGGCAAGTGACCACCACCACCAACCTAGCAAAGATAAAAACAACAGAAGCTAGATGGAGAGATTGAGTGCACCTGAGAGTTACCAGCGATGATTCATTGGCTTCTTTCCACAAAAGCTTGTCGAGATGAATCGATCAGGCATGGGGAAGGGCAACAAAGCTCACCCCTTTCCGCTCGTCGCTGGCTCATGGAGAAGAACAAACATGAAAGCTGTTAATACTAGCCATGATTCCTAAACACGGACTCAGCACCAAACATCATCAAGCAAAGAAAAGACAAGCAGCAAAAAAAAAAAAAACACACACACACACACAGGAAAGAAAGAAGTAAAAATCTCATCGTCCGAACCAAGAAACTTTTCTATCTCTAAAATAATGCAAAAACATGGAATCTTTGTGTGATAAGATGGTCTTAAAAGGGAAACAAGCAGCTAAGAAGAAGGCAGAAAGCAGAGATGCTTACGAGCAGCGAGTCTTTGTTCAAGTTGGCAAAGCAACAGCCCATCAAGGTGGTGAGGGAATGGTCTCGAGCGCAAACGAAAGAAAACAGAGTTAGATGGCCAGGAATGGACGATGGTGGGCATGAACCTCGGGGAGCACCTTCACTCCACGGATCCTCACAGCTTGAATCCATGTTTTGTTGAAACGCTCAAAACCCTATCCGCAACAGGCAAGAGAAAAGTAGAGGAGAGGAAAGCAAAAGCAAGAAGGACGACAGAAAAGATAGGAGAACACCGGGAAGGAGAGTAGAATTGGTCAAACAGTGCCTTCCGATGAGGCGGCACCGCGTGCTTCAATGTGTAGTACTGTACTCTTTCTATTCTCTCTCTCTCTCTCTCAGAGGCTTCATTACTAACAGGACAGAGACGGACAATACTACTCCCTCTTCCCTCCCTGTCTCTTTCTCTCTCTCTCTCTCTCTCTTACCTCCCTTTTCAACAGACACGCTTATTCTTACAATTTCCCAATTTCTAGAGCAATATAAGCATTAATGAAAAGAGAGAGAGAAAACCAGAGAGGCAATTAAGCACGCGCTTCTTCACCCACACAAATCCGACGAGCTGATTGGCAGATACGATAAGACAGACGGCGAAGCAAAGCAAAAAACATCGCAACGCGACAGCCGAAACACACAAGTAAAAGACAGCCTCGGGGGGTGTGGTGAGACAGGTTCAATGACTCTCTTTCTCCCTCTCTCTCTTCTCGGGTGGGGAGGGGAGCGTATTTCCAAGTATGATCACGGAAGAAATAACAGCGAAAGGTTGACAACAAGAGATTTGAGCACGCAACGGAAACAGCACCCTGTCATGCCATTTACCTCCGGCGGGTGCTCACTCTCTTCTGTCAACCTGCTTCGCTTCGCATCCCATCTCACACACCCCACCCCATCCCCCCCCCCCCACCGCGGGGCGCCTCCGATCACTGTGGCTGTCCACGTCCTAAATAGAGGGAGGGGTGCGGAATTGGAGGAGCGATTAGTATTAACTTATAAATATATTTGAAATAATCATTCAGATCAATGTAAATTGATATTTAATATATTTAAAAAAAGATTTAATTTAAATATTATATTAAAAATATTCAAATATTGATGTTATCTCATGATAGCAAACTCAGCATTTACGAGATATTAATATGTTTTTTTAATTCTAAAAATACTCTATGATTTTATCTAAAATTATCAAAATATTTTATTGATAAACTACCATAATATATATTTTCTATAAGGCAACATTTTATTTATTTATGTTTAAAAATTATTCTTTTATTTTTTGTATACATATTTTTTATTTATTATATATTTAGGCCATACTATATTTTTATAAGATTACATTTATTTATTTATTTTCTTTAGTGATAAAACATATATATTAATTTGTAAAATAATATTAAAATATAAAAGGATAAATTTATTATAAAATATTTAATAGACTTTTTAAATATAATTTTACCAAACAGTACTTATGCCGATGCACATTTAAAATATAATTTTACCAAAGTCTATTTGAACACTTCCTTTATATATATATATATTCAAGTTTTACTATGTATCCAATCCTTCTTCTGAGTAAGGTGTTCAATCATGCAAATCATGAACGGAGAATCATTGAATTACAAGCTATTATTATAAAGATGAATGACCATGAATCACACCTATATCAAATTGTTGCTATGCTTACAAGCACCCCAAGAACTATTAACGAACATCCATTTAGAATGTTTGTGGCTCACAACGTTGCTCTCAAACTTTTGCACTAAACTGTGGTGACAAACTTTAGAAAAGAAAGAATAAAAGCTGCAATCGAATCTTGTGTCCCTTTGCATATTCCAAAGAAATAGAGAGTCCTAGATAAAGGAAGAATTTTAATGTCTCTTTCTTCCTTTCACCCCTCGAGAGAAGAAAAAATAATAATTATTTTGAGTAATTTATTTTCAAAAAAATCTTAATAATAAAATTTTATCATATGATGTTCTCATATTTTATTTTCACCAAAATATATATTTTTAATGCTATTATCAAAATATATTTTATTAATAAAAAAATATAATCGATGTCTATTGATTTTGAATAATTGTTGGTTATTTAGATTGAACCGATTTGTTCGAGATGAATCAAACTAGATCAGTACAATAAAAATCTAAGTATTTATTTTTTAAAATCATATATTATCTTTATTTTTTCTCTAAATTATTTCGCTACTCTCGTTCCTAGATTATCCCCACCTCTCCTATCTTCACTCTTATCTCCTACTCCTCTACCATTATCATCTCTACTGACTATTCATTCCACTCCATCGCCTCTTCCTTTTTTTTTTTCGGTTTCTCTTTACCCTCCCCTTTAGTTTTCTCATACTCCATCTCCTAATCCTTCTCTCAATTCACTCTTCAACCACTACTACCTCCTCCTCCTACTCCCCCTCCCCCTCCCCTTCATTCACCTTCTCCTACTTTTGTGCTCCCTCCTTTCGCTCCACCTCATTATACTCATCGTCCAATTGGTCCCTCCCTCCCCTCCCGTTCTTCCTTATAGTTTGTCTAGATTAGATTACATTTATTCACATAATTATATATATATATATATATATATATTCTTAATCCATCATAATCATGAAAAATTATGCTAAATATCTTATAATAATATGCTAGTAGTTCGAAATAAGTTTAGATTAATTTGAGTTAAACTTAATTATATAATCAACCCAAAAATATCATATTCAAAAACTTAATTACCTTAAACTTATACGAAATTAAAAAAAAATACTATATATCTTAAAATCACATGCCAATAGCTCCAGAGAAGGTTGCATTGGTTTAATTAAAATTAACTCAATCTACTCTCCATCACATACTCAATACAAAAATACTATATTTCAAAAAATAATCATCCAAAATTTATATTAAAAAAAAAAACACTACATATCACCTTAATAGTTTAAGAGAAGTTTGAATAGGTTTGATGAAAATTCAAATATTATACTAAATCACAGATTTAATAAAAAAATTTATATCTTAAAATTTAATTATTTTAAATTCATAAAAAAATAAAAGAAGATAATAGTATATTAATATCTTATTCTAATAGTTCAAGGAAAGTTTAGATATGTTTGATGAAAATTGAAAGAACTATACTCGAGTTACAATAAAAAAATATAATTTATAAAATAAATAAAACAATAATAAGTATATTAGCATCTCATTCTAGTAGTTTATAATAAGTTTGGATAAATTTGATAAAACTTTAAAGTGTTATACTCGATCACAGATTAAATATAAAATATCTTATTCAAAGTTTAGTCACCCTAAATTCATAATAAAATAGAAAAAGTGATAATAATAAATTAACATATGGTAGTTCAAAAGAAGTTTAGATAGGATTAATGAAAATTCAAAGAGTCACACACAATCACATATTCAACCAAGAATATCCTATTCGTTCTAAATTTATATAAAAATAAAAAATACTAAATATACTACTATTTTACCCATAGTAGATCCAAAGAATTTAGATAAATTTGATGAAGATTTAATTACATTTGACCATTGATTCAACCTAAAAAATACTCTTTTGAAATTTTATTCATCCTAAAATAATAAAAATAGTATTACATATTTTAAAATGATATACTAGTAGTTTTGGAAAAAAAAACAGATTAATTTAATAAAAATATCCTAATTACACTCGAGTTTCACTTACTCATAAATTTAACACCGAATCTGATCCAATCATTCATATCGGATCGAACCGACATTTTTGCCCTATTATTATAAGTTTTTTTTTTAAAGGTGTTCCTTGAGAAAAAAATCATATATAGGGGCATGATATGATAAAAGCCTAATACTATGGGCTTTTCTGATAAATTGCCCAATTATTTTTGCCCTTTTTGCCTTTATGACTGCCATTTTGTTCCCACCACTTTTTCTCCTGGGATTCTTCTATACTTTATGGTGCCATTTCTCCTCTCCTTTTTTCCTTCCATGAGATGAAATAGAATCTTTCGGAAGAAAAGACGTACTTAATGGAATCGCTTTTTGTTGTTCTTGACAACAACTACTGCTATTCTTGTCCGAAACCATGCAATATGTTTGTCGTGGGCACTTGCGTCACTCTTGCTTCCATTATACGTACGTCATAGCTATAAGGACGCAAGACCAGAATATTATCTTATCCGCAACTTTAGTCGCGATTCGCCCTCCCCTCTCTCCTCTCTCCTAACCATCGAGCCATATCAAACTGTCGTGGTCTAAGTCGTGCGATGCATACGATCCATATCTATTGCCTTGCCCGTGAGAGTCGTGCCAGTCACCGTCGCGACGTGACGTTCGTCATGGCTAACCGGAGAGCAACCTATCATCCATGCGCACGCGTTGCAGATTGTTCGTAGCCGTCCATCATGACCATTTCGCAGATCTCAACGACGCCAGTGTGGGGTTTGGTCTAGGCATATCGACGGCGAGGACGAGCTCGTTCGGGCGCCCGAAGAGACTAAGAAGCTACCAGGTGTTCGATCTTTTGACCCACCACCTCTTCTAAAAGTGGGTCCCGATCGATCTCGCTCGCCTCTCAGTGAAGAGGAAGAGCGACGGTCTCGATGCCGTAAGCCCAAGTCTGGAACTGAAGTCTTTGTTCAAGAGCTTACGTAGATGCTCCTTCGCTCCCTACTTGCGCGGGCAAGACGAAGGTCATTAACCAAGGACGAAACGTAAACGTGTTCTCCCTTGTAATTACCCGTTGGAAGAAAACCTTTGCCAATCCTATTAGTCTCTGCATCCCAATACTGCAGTAGTCGATCTCGAGTCGTCAGGATCGCAACAAAAGTGATGGCTCTTCTCTTCGAGGGTGATGAAGAGTTGGAGGAGTGCTGGCGCAAAAAAGAACTTTGATTCAGAAGGAGGAGAAGTTCCGAATCGAACTGGGCAGCAATGAGGAGTAGAATCCAGGACTTCAAGGCACAAACAAATCTGAAGAGTTTGGTTCTTGCTTCAACTTGTGTTCAGGTAGAACCCTAGCGCCACCACTTGGAATAACAATGGTCCAAAAGGAAGCTCCTCCATGATTTGAGCCTCAAAACGTTTCTTGATTGATTCCTGGTAGACAAATTCGTACAAACTAAGTAGGGATACATGTAGGTAGTAAGGTAATATGTGTGTTTCATTAACGTTTAAATCTTTCATATAAGTCACTTCACCTCAATTAACTTCGATCCAATAAAACCAAGTTAATTAATATTATTATAGTTTTATTAAATTAAATTTACTAATTAATTAATTATTTTTTATGTTTTTATAGATATTAATAAAATATTGATATATGAATAATGACATGTGGATATTCGGGTGCCACTTGATGCCAAGTCAACCTTACATGCTAAGACCTAGTGGGATGCATAATTATCATGTGATATCATTATTAGCTCTCGATATTTTAAATGATTTTTCATGCTTCAGTAACATTTGACAATTCAAAGAAAATATTTATTATAGGATAATTATAAACTAAAAGTAAGTAATTAAATATTTTACTCATAAAAAACCCATATATTTATATAAAATCTTTGATACACAAATCTTTTAACTCTATATTATTATTTTTTAAATTAAATCAGAATATGGAATGGATCTTATCAAGTATATCTCTAATCAACTCTTGTTCTTAGTATTGTGAAGTATGTGGTCTCAAACCATGTATATATATATTAGATACCCTAAATTGATATTAACGAGTATAGTGGTAATTCTTTTGTTGTTTTGCATATATATATATATATATA